CATTTGGTAACAGTGAGATGGTACTAGCTGTGAGAAGGCAAATTGTTAGAATTTGTCAACATTTTAGTGTGCATACCCTCCTGCCTAGCAAATTTAACTTTACAGAAACTGTTTTATACACTTGTATAATTTCACACCAAGCACGTATATATTCATATATTACTTGAGTCATTTAAAAAAGGAATGCAGAACTGTGGGCTTCTGTAAAAAAGTTTGTAACTTTCTACTCTAGAAAAATCATGTGGACCTTTTGGGTTTTCCAGAAGTGATTAGCAGCAAAACTTCTTAAAACACATGTATTATGATTCTTTTCTAATTTGACTAGAGAGAGACAGAGAGAGGGAAAGTGGGAAAACAAGCCACCAGGTCCAGGACTCAAACCATAGTCAACCATGTGAGAGTCCAGCACCTTAGCCATCATGCTGGCCCCCACAGCAAAAGTTTTATTTGAAAGAGATTTTTGCTATAGGGCGTGTGCGCTGGCTGGAGAGACAGAAAACAAGAAATTACCCCCAGCAGAGAATGGCCATGCTGCAATCCCTTCTCCTTTCTTCTCTCCGGATTTTTTTTTTTTTTTTTTTTTTTGCTATAGGGGGGGGCCCTGCCCAGCCACCCCCCAGGGGGGATGGTCACGCCGCAATCCTTTCTCCTCCATTCTCCTCTCAGGATCTTGGGCACGCATGCACACGCGCCCGGTGTGAGTTTTAAGCCACTGGGTCCGGGACTCAAACCACGGTAGACTACATGGGAGTTCAGCGACATAGCCATTACTCTAACTGCTGGTCCCCTTCTCTCGGGATTTTGAGCATACATGCACACATGCCCGGTGTGAGTTTAAGCTGCCAGGGCCGGTACTCAAACCATGGTCAACTACGTGGGAGTCCAGCAACATAACCATTATGCCATCTACTGGTCCCCCACTGCAAAACTTTTCAAATGGAAACGGGCTCTACGTTGTCATTGGGAGAAGCCAGCCAGGATCCCCTCAAAACAGACCAGATGGTGGCTGTGCCCAAAGGTTGGGGAGGAGGAAAGGCTTGCAGGAACTGTGGAGCACAGGACACACGTGGAGGATCTAGAAGAGGCCCCAGAGCTAAGCAAGATAAACCAAATATTAAACATCAACCAGCCGACCACAACCAAGACAGCGTGGCAACCCGCCTACCCCGACCTATGCTCTCAAGTCACAAGAAGCAGCAGATAAAGTCTCACAAACACCCACCTTCCCCTGTCCCTGTGACCTCTGAGCCCACCAGGCACAAACACTACAAAGTCAAATCAAACCTGAACATCTTAGGAAAGACTACACCCAGTAGAAATTAAACTTAAGGACTCCTTCATGTGAGTAGTTAAGAATGTTAAAAATGTGTCTATATACACCTTTACAAACGAGTCCAATAGGTGTGGCTCCTGGCTAGGAAAGTGTAAGGAACTGCGAACCGAACATGTGGGCTTAGATGTGTGCACTGCAAACAGTAGTCATGCGGGACCACTGCTTTCACCATAAACACTGTGAGCACAAACGTTGATAAAAGTCAAGACATTCCAAAACAAAGCCAGGATCCAAACACAGCCTATTCAAAGATGCTCATAAAAGCCACTCAGAACACTGGGACAAATAACACGCATCCCCAGGGCCTATAGGCAGGCCACTTGCTTCATCTCCACCTAGAACACCCACTGTCTGGGGCGCTCAAAATTGTCATCGCAAATTGAACTATAAACCCCTGCAAATCAGGACAGTCTGGAAGAAGGCCTGGCTCACTAACTCAGAAAGCTAAGTTCTAGAATAATTGAAACAACACATACCGTACTTTTGTAGAGGACACGAGGGGCTTAGGATACCCGGGGCTGTAGGAGGTAAGAAGCCAGTAAACTAAATGCATGGTGTACATGGGAGAGGAGGGAGACCCGTGAGTAGAAACGCAGGTAAGATGACTGTGAGGGGAGCGGCAGGCATTTCTGGGCTTCTGAGAGCTTGCGTTCTATGAATTCGACGTAGTTCATTTATTCACTCACCTATGAGTTATATACGGTTAAGTCATGCTATTGTTAAAAGGGCATACCTTCCTCAATTCAGTCATAAAAAACAATCCTTAAACTTACAAGTTCAGCTGTGGACCCAGAAAGTAATGACTAAAGAATCTTTCGTTTTACTGAAGTACTAATTTTAGACTGAAATGCCCTTACTGGCTAATTCAGCCCCTGGAAATTCACTGGTGCAAAAACTCGAACTTTTTACTTACTAAAGAGCAAATGATCCATTCCTGTCTGAACTCAAAATGCATAAGGCTTTACTTAGTGAGGTTTTGCTCTGGCAAAATTGATTTGAAATGAGATCGGGGTTTGAGTGAAGTGGGGGCCAGCCAGTGGCCTGGTGGTTAAGGCGGCTAGATCCCACATGGCCAACTGCGTGGTTTGAATCCCAGACCCAGTGGCTTAAGAAACTTGCTGGGCAACACGTGATTGCCCAGAATCCTGAAAGGGGGTTAAAATGGAGAAGAAAGGATTGTGGCGTGACCAGGCGCCATGGAGGTGCTTTGTGGCTTTCTCTTTCTCCAGCAAGTGCATGAATACTCGGGCAAAATAGAAAGAAAGGAGGGAAGAGGTAGGGGGAGAGAAAGAAGGAAAGAATGGAAGAAAGAAGGTGAAATGAGCTGCCCTTTGAGAAGGGCGTTCCTCATCCCTGGAGGCAATTAGCCAGAGGCTGGATCTCAAGAGCGAGGAGTTGTACCTCCAGTTCTCTGCAGCTTTGGAATCACATTGTTCCAATGAGGTGGGTCACCTTTTACCACAGGGCTCTTCCTCAAATACCTGGTGCAGCACACAGGGCAGGTGCAGGCAACCATCTGAGCTCCCAAGTGGTAGTAGTGAAACCAGGTAAGGGAGAGGCATGCAGACACTGCAACATTCTCCTGCAGATTCTTCTCATCAATGTCAGGGGAACAATCATTAATACCAGCCGGAGAGTCCAAGCACTGTAAACTTCAAAATCAACGTGGCCTTAAGGGTCAACTTTTATATCCTGATACATTAAAGTTTACATCTAATATCTTTCCCATCAAATGTGTCACTATGCCTACTGTCTACGACTGTAGGTATACGCTAAAATAACACTCAGTACCCTGCCTTCTTATATATCAACTCATTCTGTACGTAGTCGAGTGCCGAGGACAAAATGTGTGCCAGATGTTCCCTAACTGGCCAGTTCTCTCCATTGAACAGTGTTCATAGAAATAAAAATGAAAGCTACAGCTAACATTTATTGAGTGCTTACTGTATACTGGATATTCACTATTATTTTACATAAATCATTTTATTAAAT